GTATTAATCTGTAGGCTATTCTGGTTTCTGTTTTGAATGCCCTGTTGATTGTAATAGGTTTCCCCTGCTTTTTCTTGGATAATATTAAAAAAAAATTCTTGTAATTTTTCGATATAATGAAATTTTCTTCTCTCTGTCAATGGTTTTTCTCTTTTGTTTTTTCATGTAAATTTTAGTGTTTTTATTGTTCTTTTCGATCGTATTCAGTTGTCATTAATCGTTTCGATAATTATAATATTAAAAATATTTTTTTAATAAAATCTTTTTGATTTTGAAATAATGTGCACAACTTAAATGTTTCCGTTAACTCATAATTGATCCGATACGATATAACTTAAACAATTCTACTAATTAATTTTCTCTTATTTATTTTCAAAAATTATTTCGAATTAATAAAAACATTATTACCTTTCTTCATATTTGAGCATCTTTATTTTAATTTAAGTTCACAAGCTACTGTTAGTTTGTGATGTCTAATCATGTTAGAAAATTATAGTTTGAGCGTGTTGAAATAACAATATTAAAGAAAATTATAAATTGTCTTTCGATTTCAAGATCGTCTATGATAATTAACACGGATGATTTTGTAAGATACAATTTTGACCATATCATTAATTAATCTTATTTTTATTAATTAATCTTATAATTAACCGAGTCCTGTTGCCACGGGATCGTGTTGCAAGGGATACGGTGTGGGAGCCTCCCCCTGTTGGGTATTACAAATTGAATACTGATGGGGCTAGACGGTTAGATTCTGGCTTGATCGCTTGTGGTCAAAGATTCGCTGGGTAACTGGGTTTTCGGCTTTACTAAAGCGATAGGTTGCTGTTCGGCGTTCGATGCAGAACTATGGGGATTATATGAAGGTCTACAAGTTTCATGGGATATGGGGGTGTCGTCGTATTCTCATTGAATCTGATAGTAAAGAATTAGTCAATTTGCTGGGTAACATCTCAACTTTACAAGGAGTGTCGTCGTTATATCTCAGACAATATATTAACATATAATTTAAATTGTCGTTAATTTTTAACGAAAAAAAAACAAGTTTTAGATCATAATGAATAATAGTATGATCGTTTTGTAACTTTTAATAGTCGAGTGATTCACCAAATTAATATCTTATTAGTAAAAATATCATTTTATAACTTTTAATAGTCGAAGAACTCAACAAAGTAATATCTTATAGTCGAAGACATTAATATACTTTATCCTTAAATTTAATAGTAAAATTTCAACACCTAATTGAATAAAATAAAATTTAAAACTAAATTTAAGTAATTAATTAAACAAAATTAAAGCTCGGGTCAATCAGTTTCACCAACCTCCTCCACATCAGACAGGAATTTAGCGTAGGAGCCGAAACGCAACGCAGGTTACGCAACGCTGAGTGCGTTTGATTAATTATGTTCCCCACTATCGGTCTCAAAACAACAAAAGACGAGCAAAGCAATTGAAACGTAGGATCCACCGCGTTTAGATTTCAACTATATCAGCCCAAAAATAATAGTAATAATAAATATAGTAGATAAGAGTTGGTGAAGGGCAAGAAGCAACAACTGGACTCTCCTTACACGTAAGTGTCACCATCTCACCAGCTTCATGTTTTCTTATATTATTAGTTGGCCAATTTTGAGTTAAACTAATATCACCAATTTTTATAACCAATCAACATATCTAGTCTATACAAAACTATATTTCATGGTGCACTCTTTTTGGAAGGTTTTCTAACGAGCTCATGATTGTGTTTTTCGTTTTCACTATAGCAAAACAAGTTTTTAGAAATATTTTTTAGTCATATAGCAGTGTTTTTTAGCGCCGCTAAAAACAAAACAAAAAATCACTGTCAAATGAGCTGCTGAAACTAACGCCGCAAAAGGTTACGAGTTTTAGAGATGTTTCTTTCATAAATGCCACTATAGGTTAACCATATTATGACGTTTGTATAAAAACGCCGCTAAAGTAGTACTCCTTTGCAGCGTTTATTAAAAAACGTCACTATAGGTGAACCATATCGCGGCGTTTGTATAAATACGCCGCTAAAGTAGTACTCCTTTGCGATGTTTGTTGAAAAAACGACACTATAAATGGGCCTATTGTGGCGTTTGTATAAAAACTCTGCTAAAAACTACTCCCTTGAGGCGTTTGTTGAAAAAACGACACTATAGATGTACCTATTGTGGCATTTGTATAAAAACACCGCAAAAATACTACTCGGTTGTGCCGTTTGTCGACAAAACGCCACTATAGATGAAACATATTGCGGCGTTTTTGAAGAAATGCCGCTAAAATTACCATTTTGTGGCGTTTCGAATGTACACGTCGTTATATGTTTAAAATTAGTGGAGTTTACTCTCAAATCGCCATTAAAGACAAGTTTTGTTGTAGTGTTTGTATGTGTTTTCAATAATATCGTACAAAACTATATTTTAAAAAAAACATATCTAATCTATACCAATAAATAAATGTTGTCCTGCAGGGGAATTTTGTAATTTAAGGGTTCAAAATTGGGAAACTGCGTGTTAAACAAGTATGGCATTTTTAAGTAAAGTGTAAATTGGCAGTTGTGTTTTTACGCAATTTATGTGACAATCAAAAGAAATCATATAGTTTCTGTTATGAATCTCTTTTAATGTTACATGTGATATATTACCTCTTTCACTTTATATGGTTGGCAATGAAGTTGAGTGTTGGCTCGGCAATAAAACAGTTCAAACTAGAACCCTGTCTATTAATTTTGGGATTTATTTATTTTTAATCAAATTTGTCATTAAAATGAGAATAATTCAACTCCAATATTTTTATCTGTTGAATAAATACGTGACATCTTTGAAATTGGGATCAGTCTTAAGCATTTAGAAACGAAGAATTATAGGAGAGTTGACCGTGCTTGGTGGTTGGTTTTCTTGTTGGGTGTAATTAGCCCACAATGATAAATACCAACACAAGATTTTGTATTAAGGGTATGAATTAATAAATTTATATTAAAATTTTAGATGGTACGAAATTACAAAATTTCAAAAGATATGAAATCATATCATCAATAAAAATATTAAAAACATCTAAATTATATAAAGATTTAAATTTTCTAAAAATACAATCATACTCTAGTACTCAGGGACGTATCTAGGCCTACCTAGGCCATAGCCCCTATACTCAAAAGATTAGCGGTGATATTAACGTATCATCATAAGATAATCTCACATCATGATTGAAAATATATAAAAAATATCATATTAACTTCATTCTTAATTTTTTAATGGTAAGTAATCAAAATAGAACCAAGTCGTAAGATTGACTATGATTTTGAAAAAAATAATAATAATTAAGTGACCTAAATATAAATTAAGTAATATGTGGGATGACCAAATAGTTAGTTTACCATAAATAAAAAAATATGTATGAATTATGTTAAGAAAATTATATCAGTACAATTAATATACTTTTTTCTATATTTAATCCATATATATATATATATAATTGTTATTATATTTTTAAATTATATATATATATATATATATATTATTTTAGATAAAAAATTTATTATGTTTATATTGGTCTGGCCTACATAATTTATTATGTTTATATCGATCATGATTTTTTTCTTCGAATCTCGTATTAACAAATTAATAAAAAAATTAAAGAAAATAAAACTTAAAACTTTTAAGTTAAAAAGTACATAATACAAGCTTAGAAAAAATTTAGGAATTTAAATTTAATTTGAAGGTAAAACTATCGGGTCGACTCTAGTACTTAGTTATAAAAAAGACACATACCCAACCTAATTATCAGGAAAAAATCACAGGTCGGGTACCCAACCCAATCAAGTAATTTTTTAGAGAATGACCTATTTTTTAAGTTCGGATTGACGGGTCAACGGGACGGTTCAATCGGATCGAGTATTTTTGAACTAATAGTACTTCCTCAATTTATACTTAATGTAAGATTATCATTAAAATAACTGACAATGTAAAGAAGAAAGAAAGCAATGGTGAAGACAATAACTTTTGTTTGGAGGATCAAGGAAAAAAATATAAGGGCTAAAGTGAAAAAAATAAAGTTAAAAATGATTTTAAAAAAATTAGAATAAATATAAGATTATATATATTAAAAAATTCTAAGTAATTTAATAATAAACGCTTATACTCCTAATATACACAATGCTTAAATCTAAGACTTTAAGGGATAATAATAAGTATTTTAACTGCAAAGATCCCTTTGTTCGTATTAAAAAAATTTATAAAATTTAGAGGTAAGGATAAGAGACATAAAAGATTATAACTTCCAATTCTTTGGACAAAACTATAATTTATAGGTTTAGCACTGTATGAACAAAAGGATATGAAAATTCAAGAATTTAGAAATAACTTATAAATTTATAATTTATAATAATTTTTAAAATGAGAGGCGAAGGCCCCTCCTTGCCCCTTTGGATTCTCCTTGTAGAAGAAAAACAATGGTGTTCCGGTGACCTTCAGATAGGAAAATGTATATTGTTTTTACCGACGATAGATGAGTATAATTTTATGAATTTTGTTTTGTATTCGCTTTAATTAAAAGGGAGGCTGGGAATAAGTTTAGCGTATAACATACGGATGTGGATGTAAAAAATTAAATCTGTCATCAATAATATTAGTGATGTGTTTGAGATTTTACTCATCTTGTATCTGTTCACCCCACATCTATTTGTCTATTAGCCATCCGTCATATAAATTTTAGATCATTATAAATTTAAGTATAATTTCAGATATTATTCCGATTGTTTATACAAAATTATTATGCCACTATTACGATGAGTAGCAGTCATATTTATATTTATGACTCAGTTGAAAAATAATTGTCCGATAAGCCCTGATCAGGAAAAAGAAAAGAAAAGTCCGACAAGTCAAAGTCTAAAGAGGGAAGTTGAGGTGGCGAAGGGTCAGCGGTCAAAGTCAGGAGGCGGGAGTAGGTGAGTGACAATGGAAATGCCGCATTTGTTTGCTTATATTATTTCAACCCCTCGCCTTATTGCGCTCACCACCCTTCCACCAACCCCTCACCCATTTCCCTTTTCGTCTTCTTTCTCCTCTGTTTTCGCTTCGATTTGAAGGTTTGTTTATGCCCATTCCCTTGAGTAACCATCTTTTTTGTTAATTTGTTTTCCTTTCTGGGGTTTCCATTGTTTTCTCATATACATCATATATCTTTGAATCGCCATGGTTTTTGAGTTGCAATTCAGAATGCACTGGAATTTTCCTTCTTCTTTTTTCCTTGTTCTGTTTTTGTTTCTGGAATTTTTAAACAACCCAGAGACCAGTTAAATCATTACGTCCTACCGACGAGAGCCGATTGTTCTCTGTTGATTTCAATTTCAATTTTCATGATATCCGTTTGACTTATATGTAACTAAGTATACTACTTAATTGCGTCCTACTCTGGTTTTTATTCAAAACCAGGTATTCAGGAGTTAATGATTTTTGTTGAATGCGAAATTATCTGTTCTCTCATAGATTATGAATTACTACTATCAATCATGGTGGATAACAAATTGAAATGAGTTTGATTGATTCATTTGGCCATTCTAATGGATTTGAGATGGGAACAAGTTTCTTTATGGAGTACTAAACAAAATAATATTTCTTACCTGTATAATCGGCTTGTTTGTTGGCAGGAGCAGACGAATCCTCTTTCCTCCTTTGGACCTCACCAGCACTTCAACCATGATTGTAAACGTGAAAGAATCGACAATGGTACAACCGGCGGGGGAGACTCCACGGCGGACCCTGTGGAACGCCAACGTGGACTTGGTGGTACCCAGGTTCCACACCCCGAGCGTTTACTTCTACAGGCCGACGGGAGGGGCCAATTTCTTTGACCCGCAGGTGATGAAAGAGGCACTGAGCAAAGTTCTAGTCCCGTTTTACCCCATGGCGGGGCGGCTGAAGAGGGACGAGGATGGAAGGATCGAGATCGATTGCAACGCCGAAGGAGTGCTCTTTGTTGATGCTGAAACTACCTCTGTTATCGACGATTTCGGTGATTTTGCACCCACCTTGGAGCTCAGGCAGCTCATCCCAACCGTTGATTATTCCGGTGGCATCTCCGCTTATCCACTCTTGGTTTTGCAGGTAATAATTTTTCACCTTTTATATTTGTTTGTTATTAAAGACTGTTTTTTACGAAGACGAAGGGAAAAAAGTAATTTTATATAAAAGATTAAGAGAATTAGGTAAATATTTAGATCTTTAAAGATATTTTCTTTTTCAGCTCTCTGAAATTAGATAAGTTAGATTTGATATATACAAACAATGATAAAAATGAATAAAATAAAATTTTAATTATAAAATTGAAGCATGTAGTTTTTTATATATAAATATATTAATTATCATTATTATTTTTAAGAATTGAATTTAATTGAAAATATTTAATTATATTAAATTTAACGGAATTTTAAAATAAAAACAATTATTTAAATACTTCATTGTTTATATAGTTAATTTTAAATTAGAGAATAAGATAATTTATTTCAACTATAAATAAATTTATATATTCACAATCTGTTAAAAACAAACCTATTTGTCTACCTGAAAGAAAGCAGGAATTTGAGCCTCTTAAATGGAATCTTCAAATGTCAGAACTCACCAAAACTATTATTTCGGTTTGGTGGATGCTTTTGTCAAGTTTTTTTTTTAATTAATGTATAGAAAGGATTAAAGCAAAAGGCAAATACCATAAGCAACGATTCTCCATTCCCAAATGAAATGATAAACCAGTGTCATATCAAAAGGGGGTGGGGTATTGCAACCAGTGAGTGTTTTTCTTCTTCTTCTCAAATCCAATAAAGTAATGCATTTAATTAAAAAAAAGAATTTTCTAAAATGGTAATTAAAAGAAATTTTTAGCCAGAATACACATCTGTTGCAATGCATGACGTTGCATGCCAACACCAGTTAGTTAAATTAAAAACAAAAACAAAGGTTCTTACACTTGTCTGAACATATATGCCAGTAGTCGTAGAATTCATAATATAAGTTACTGTTTTGGAGGTTACCAAGTAAGGCGGGTAGCCCCAACTCCCCAATTAAGCCAAAATAGGAAAGAGTTTTGTGGGATAAAAGTCATGTTAAGAGAAAGGAAAGCAGTCTATTGCGGTAGTTGTGAAACAGCAGCCTGCCATCCCACTCTATTGATGCATTTTTGTAGTTTCAACATTTACAATTATTTGATTTGACTCACAACTCTACTTGAGTTGAGCCATTATATTTAAGTTGTTTGCTGGCTGCCTTGCATAAGCATCCGATATTTTTTTGGTTCATCCTAATTTTGCGTCTGCTGGTTACCAGCCTACCACCTAATCTATATTTAATTAATATCCACCTACTTAGATTGCTTGTTATTCTTTGAACTTAAGCTATGTATGGCCTATGCCATACTTTTAGATATTATCTTGGAGAAAATATCCTCTAAATTTTTAATCAGTAATAATTTTGAGGTATATGTCACCCGTAGGGTCAAATCTAATTGTATATCTTCTACGCCCTTGATCCTGAGAGTTGTTTTAAACAGGGGTTTGGTTTTTGTTTCTGTTCAGGTCACATATTTCAAATGTGGTGGAGCATCATTAGGTGTTGGCATGCAACACCATGCGGCAGATGGATTTTCTGGTCTCCACTTCATCAATACATGGTCTGATATGGCTCGTGGTCTTGACCTCACGATTCCGCCATTCATTGACCGGACCCTTCTCCGTGCTCGGGATCCTCCAAAACCCGCGTTCCACCACATTGAGTATCAACCTCCTCCAGAATTGAACACTCCACCCCCGTCCACGGGTCTTGACAGCACGGCAGTCTCCATTTTCAAATTGACCCGGGAACAACTCAGTGCACTCAAAGCCAAGTGCAAGGAAGATGGGAACAGTGTCAGCTACAGTTCATACGAGATGTTGTCAGGTCACGTGTGGAGATCGGTCTGCAAGGCTCGTGGACTTACTGATGATCAAGGGACCAAATTGTACATTGCTACCGACGGAAGGTCTAGGTTGCGACCCCCACTTCCACCTGGTTACTTTGGAAATGTGATCTTCACTGCTACCCCAATTGCAGTGGCTGGCGATCTGATGTCGAAGCCAACATGGTATGCTGCGAGTCATATTCATGATGCATTAGTTCGGATGGACGACGACTATCTAAAGTCAGCACTTGATTACCTAGAACTTCAGCCAGATTTATCCGCCCTTGTTCGAGGTGCGCATACTTTCAAGTGTCCAAACCTTGGGATTACTAGCTGGGTTAGGCTACCAATCCATGATGCAGATTTCGGCTGGGGCCGTCCCATATTTATGGGTCCCGGCGGGATTCCTTACGAGGGGTTATCTTTCGTGTTACCAAGCCCCAACAATGATGGGAGCTTATCAGTTGCCATATCCCTGCAAACCGAACACATGAAATTGTTCGAGAAGCTCTTTTATGACATTTAAGCCAAAAAAAAATCCAACAGAAACTATATATTCTGAACGTGGTCCATCCCTTTCCCAATGTTTTCATACATGTTCATGTTTTGCAGCCTCACATTTCTCTTGAAATGTACCTCATATTCAAGCTTTACTGGTTTCAAGCCATATTTTAATGCATAGGGGAAAAAAACTTTGGACATAAGTTGTATTACTGAATACTGATTTTGGTTCAATATCGGTGCTGAATATTATTACAATGTTAGCTCACAAGAAAGAAAGAGGAAAAGGTGGAAATAATTTAACATTTCCTATATTTTGGATCCTTTACACCTGAACTTGTGGATTATTATTTGGTTCTATAAATAAATGTATGACAAGTTAGTTGAATAGGATACAAGGTTTAGTTGTAAAGGTGCATTGCAGACGGGGCTTTTTTAGGTGTATCCTATATACATTAAGAGGACTATAAGTCCTAAAGCTAGATACATGGGACATAATTGAAGGGAACCCATTGATGACTCCAAGAAATTATAGCCCAGGCTGTCATTTTTAGGGTTCTGCTCCTTAGAATTAGCCCCCCCCCCCCCGGTTTTGAAGAGGTAACTAACTACGTACTTGATTTCTTTTTCTTTTTGCCCTGGCATGAAATGATTCTAATTTGAGTAGCTTTGTTTAAATTAAACAAACTTAAATCCTTTCTGCCTCTAAGTCTTGAAACAATGACTGAAGTTCAAACTCCTATGTTTTTTTGGTGGTTGTCTTCGATGTCCTCTTTTAAGTGACTTATCTACAAATCATCTTCCCAATTCTGAATATTTCTTCAGGGAAGGTTCAGATAAATGTTCTAAAATTAAATTTAAAATGGAACTTGAGATTAAATTGTCAGTCTGATTTAAACACATTCGGCCTAACCGATTGAACAATCTGCAACAAAATACAGAGGAAATGAACTGAGTCTGAGTTCTAATAACCATTTCTTGCTAGAATGACTTAAAATCTTTCATAAAAAAAACTAAAAAAAAGACTTAAAATCAACATACTCAATCCTCAACTTGATCGGCAGACGCCGATCTGTTTTAGCTTCACCCAAACAAGAATGAAAAAAAACACCCAGAAACTGGGACAAAGTAGGATCTGTCTGTTGTCCTGTTTCTTTTGTTTTTGTTTGTGGGGATGTATGCGGGTGATCGTTAGAAGGTGTGGAGAATTAAAGCTGGAAATGACAGGATAAGGGTGGCGATTACATATAACGAAACAGTTAACAGAAAGCAAGGTGGGTTGAGGGTTGAGGGAGCTGCGTTTTTTCTGCTGGGATGATGGGGGACATTTGCACCACCGGTCGCACCTTTTCCACCCTTTGATTTCTTCGACTGAAAAAACTTGTGATATTCGTCTTTGTCGTCAACTTTTTCTGAGCTAACCGTCCAGTTGAGATCTGCATGTTTCAACCCTGAAATTCTGGCTGGTTTCAGTGAAAATGATTTCAACAGACAAGAACAAGACAACGAACTAAAACAATTAAATTCTTATTTTTTACCATGGATGTGGTAGTGTTGAACAACGGATCCTGAGAGACTGAAAGCTCGAGATTTCAGTAAAGGAAAGCCTCCAACCCTCCTGCATGAAACGGCAGTTGTACATAACAAAACCATAACCCATTCAAAAAACTTCAACATGATTCCTTCTGGTAATAGTTTTTTTTTGGGAGGGGGGGAATAATCGCTTTTTTGTTTCCCTTATAATTAAAGAGAAGAAGGCAATTTGGTGAAGAAGTGGAAGAGAAGTGTATTTATGCAGGGAATAGTAAGATGTGAAGGTGCTGTTAGAAAAAGAAAGGAGCATCTTGGCAGATAAAAGTAAAAGGCAGACCAATCTGATTTGATCAGTTTAGATGCAGTGTGTGTTCATGTCATTTGTTTTGCTGTAATGCCATTGTCTACTTAAGGTATTTTAGGTAGTATCTCTGAGTTTATGTATTCTTAAATCTGAAAGGGGAAGTCGAAATGAAAAGTTCAGAGATGTGTGGCTCGTTATGAATTGTATGGTTGAAAGAATATATATTGAAGGTTGACTTCATATCATAAGTTCCTTTCACGTAGATGTCAGTTGGTGTTAGCAAGATAAAGAAGAGGTCAGTTTTGTTCTGTTTCCTTTTTCGAACGTGTACAATGTTATTCTTATAATCAAAAATTGGAATCACGACACAGTGGAAGACAACAAGAAGATTCTTGTGAAAAATTTGACCAGCTCTTTTTTAATAATTATTATTAATGGTAGTATTATCTTTTGGATTATTTTACCTAAAAAGAGTATGTAAATATATAAATAAAATATATTTACAATAATATGAAATGTTATTTAAAAATAATTTTTTTAACTGAATTGATCTATTAGAAATTTAATTATTTACATGTGCATCGTAATTTATGTGATCATTTTATTTAAATACAAACGCAATAAGAATAATTACACGCATACAAAGTTTTAAGTATGAAAACATTCAATACTGATCATGTTATTGTTCCATATTGCATTTAAAATTCTGGTTGGTCAAGAATAATTAGGTTCATTTAAGTATAGGGATGGTTAACAATGGTAAAGTAGTTTAGTGGTAGTTATGCAAAGGTAGCAATCGAATCATACGTCCCACCATGAGCCAAAAAGTTGCAGCTTTATCATGCGTTTATGCTACTTGAATCTCGATTCTCCTATACGGTTAAATTATTTTCTTGTAAATTTTAAAAATAATAATAATAAGTTTATTAAATAAAATTGAATTACGATTAAAATTTTGTACTAATACAAATAAATAAACAGCCGACAGTGGTAGGTAATATGCGGAAAGAAATACACCCTCAATATTTGTTGAATACTATTCTTCCTTTCCAATGGAGAACTTTTATTTAATTTCAATAATATCATGTTACCTGTTGTTACTTTAATTTAAACCATAAACTCTATAATGTGAAATTAAAATGAAAAAATATAAATACAATTGATTGAACTGAATAGTTATAAATAATTTAAACTTCTGAAAAAATCAAAGTTACTAATAGATAAAAATAATTTAGAAAATATAAATTAAATTCACTAAAATAATAGGATTTTATTGAAAATTATAATAATGTTGATTTTATTTTAATAAGAAAATAAAAAATTAAACGAAAATAATGAGATACAGAAAATGATAAACTCTCTTAATCTGTTAATATATCATCAATACATATGTTATAACCAACAGGGTTGGTTCAAGCGGTAATTAGCAGCTTGTTATCGCTTAAGCAAGGTATCGAGTTCGAGTTCTTATGTATGGATGTAGAAAATCTCTGTTGGGAGACTCACCTATCAAAACCATGTGTGCGATGTGAATCGATCTGGATTAGTCAAGATAAAACTTTAGAACCGAGAGGGCAACAACAAAAATACACATGTTATAATATGAATAATATAATATATAGGTAGAGAGATTCTAGTAATAGTGTAAAGATATTGTGAAAGTCAACTCGTTCATACATTGTATCACAGTTAAACCGCAAAACGCTAGGGCAGCGGTGAAAGCAGCTTGGGCTTTCATTTACTAGCCGTCGTATAAACTTGTTAGTTCTCTCATGGACTCTTCTCACCGTACCAGTAATTGGATGTTAGCTATATTTCTATATTATAAATAAATTAACTTGTAGTTCCAGATTAATCTTAAGGAAACATTAAGGAAGAAGACGCGCGTATAATTGAATCGAAGATCTAAAAAAATTTAGCCATTTAATATAAATATTGGAGTTGCAGACTACAACAAATAAAAAAAGGGCTGGGAACATCAACAACGCACCAAATACAAGAAAAAATGACTTAAAATCCAGAGGATATGGACTGAGTTCTATCAACCATTTCTTGCAGGAAAAAAAAGGTCGGGGAACATCAAAATCTCTTTTATCATCGACCGTTTGATTCTTGCACATACATAAAAGTTTCAGTATAAAATCATACAATATTGATCATGTTAACGTTTCATATTGCATTTAAAATTCTGGTTGGTGAAGAGTAATTAGGTTCATTTTCCTAAAAGCGTATCTGGATGGTTAACAAAGGTAAAGTAGTTTAGTGGTAGTTATGCAAAAATAACAACGAAGTATTTTAAAATAGTATGAACTAAGCGACCTCAATAGTAGAAAGAATTGTTGTTATTTTTTGAGATCATGGGTTCGAGCACCAGAAATGTCAGAGATGTGAACGTTTAACGTCAAATGGTTAAGAATTACATTTAAACAGATATTGTCAGCTTCTCGGAATCTGTCTGACTTTCACATTGGTAAATAAAATTAGAAGTATTCTATTTGTCACTTGTAACCAGTAATTTAAATTTTTAATTACCGTTGAGTTGGCGTCTATGTAGAGGAAGATATAGGCATAGGACAAGAGGAAACAGCCGAAACTGGTAGGTTAATATGCGGAAAGAAATACACTCTCAATATTTGTTGAATACGTGAGCACTGAGCTGAGAGGATGGACTATTCTTTCTCTCATAAAGTCAACTAAACAATATGATTGTTTTTTTTCCACGGATATAATTGAGTATGTGAGAAATTGAAGACTATTCTTCCTTTCAAACTAACACAAAATTTATTTCAACGGAGAAAATTTTAAGGTCGTGAGATGAGTGCTGTGGTTTTTCAACACGTATCTATTCTACGACCATGTCTTCTCCCCTTGCCCAACATGCATGCAGTTTCATTTATCTATAAGTACCCCATACCATATATCACTCATCTGCAACTCACTCCATTGCTAATCTTAATGCTTTTCCAGCATTCTTCCAAAATGAAGTCTTCTCATGCTCACTACTTTCTTCTTTTTTTGCTTTCTATCCTACTGCTTTCTGCCACTGAATCTCAAGCAAGAGCTTTTCCCGGTAAATTAATATACAAGGAATTTATTCCTTCTATAATTTTTATATGCATCTCATAATGTTTATATATCTTACTGTTTCGGTGCTATATATACAGATATGTCCTTTAACGATGAACTGATGGTTGTGAATGTGGATGAAAGAATTTCAAGCCTACCACCTCCGCCATCACCACAAGTACCATCAATCTTTGAAATGATGTTTGATATTATTAGATGGATTATGAGTAGTGGTGCTCCAGCTCTAAAGACAACATCATCAACTCAACTACAACAGGTGATAGATCACATAAATTGTCACCACAATGGAACTGCAAATTCAGTACAACAAATGTCATCATCACCGTCGTTACAAAGATCTCCCCCATCATACCACCTACACCACATGATGAAGTGCTCCTCTTCCAATAAATTATGACATTAACATCAAAGATGAAAGAACGAATGATCGGATTAATAATATATAACAAGTCCTCAAAGTGATTTTTTTAAGTTTCTTTATCACCCAC